GCTCAGTTGTCGTATGGATGGTATCAGATTCTTCTCCAGTATTTCTCGGTAATAAAAGCGGTTCACGATACGATCCAAAATGTAGGCTTCAAGGTATACCCGCCCACATAGTGAATGACTTTAAGATAAGTGTAATGTCCCGCAGTGCTCAGCATTCGTTCACTAATTTCAGTCTGCTGGAAATCAGGGCAGTTCTTAAGCTTTTTGTGGAACCTACCTACTAAGGTGGAATTGTTGTTGATGAAAATGTTCTCTGGCCAAATGACTATTTTTCACATGTGATACCACTTTTCGAATACTTGTTAATGCTTCCGATACTTCATATAATTAACACATAAATTAATTAAATGATCGCCACAACTAAGCCAGCCTAAATTAATATATTCAAAATTTTAAAGCATTTTCATATGTTAGTAATTATAATTCTTACCTTTACCAAACATTACACCAGTTTTCTTCATTGCACTACAATTATCTGACACAAGACAGGTTATTAAATGAAATATGAGCCATTTGATACAAAGTTCTTCCAGGAATGCATTACATCGTTCGCTTGTATGATTTCCTTCAAATTCCATTATAACTAATACTACTGATTTTAAAACATAATCCTTCCTAATAAAATGTGCAGTAACGGTTAGATAAGCCTGTCCAGTTTGTGATGACCAACCATCCATCGTCAAGCATACACCTTAAAAAAATATGGCTAACCATATTGCTTAACCATATTTTTTTAATCGTCCAGTAAGGGAAAAGATAGAAGAGAAGAATTGGAAAAGATTTTACTTTGTACACTTGATTCCATTTTGGGACTAGTTAGGTACAGTAGGTAGTAGAGGTTCTTGTAGTGAAACGATTTTCGTACTTGCAATCAACATACTTTGAGAAAAAAAATTGATCGAAGACTTATCATTAGCATTTTTCAATTCATTGGCAATTTGTGCGCGTGTATCATTATACATTTTTTCAAATACAGTTTTCATCATATATTTTCTACACGGTAACCCATATGATGATTCAATTTGAGTAAAAATTGTTTGTAATTTCGGACATTCGACAAGACTAATAGGAAAAAGATTATAAATCAGAAATTCGACAGCTAAACGTGTTAAATATTGACTCCCTTCATTGTCTAACGGTAAACTTGCGAATTGAGATTTCTTGGCTAATCTTAATTTCTTTTTCATAAGATTGTGTTCTTCTGGATGTTTACTTGATAAATGATAAATAACTGAAGATGTTATAGTTCCTGTACGTGTAATTGTTGCTTGACAAGTGTGCATAATGCATTGTCATCAGTAAGTTTAGAAAAATAATTTCATACTAAACTTCGACTCTTACGTTTTACAACTCTAGTCTTACGATTATCCAATGAAATACTTTGGATCTGAGAAGTTGTTGTAGAAAGAACAAGTAAAGACGAGCCTGTGGAGATCATGAAAGAAGATAGGATATAATAAAATGACAAAATAGTAATATGATGTGATCTCGAAAAATATTTTGATATCGGTGACATAACTTCACTCATTACTATCTTTTTATAGTTTTTTCTTGTTAAATGGAATAATGATTGTATAAAGTTAACTTACAAAATAAGACATAAACGCTTACTGTACTATACACAATCATACATGAGAAAATTAATGAAAATACACAGTTCAAGTGAAAATGTACGAAAGTTTATAAATAGTTTTCATTTCAATTAATTTGTTAACTTGCTATATTCTATACATTACATTATTTTATTTTACATTCCCATCGACGATAGTTTATGTTATACTGTATTATAACATTTATTCCTGTCTTTCGCTTAGAACAAAATTAGCGTATTTCCTTTGTAAACGAAAGAAAAATACATTGAACAATTTGCTTAACGACATGTCGTTAAGTCCATCATATTCATTCTCTTTATTGCGATACATATTACGAAAATATAAACGGATTGCGACATGTTCTTTAACTGAAAAAGAGAAACGGATTTCTCTACAATATGTTGTTTTCTTTATTAATTATTATACAAACAAATCTTTCTCTTTAGTCCAAACGTTGAACGAAATGAAGAAATAAAAAGACATGTTTTGTATAGAACATGTACATTTCTTATAAACATGTCGGTAGTCTTTCGTCCCATCTCTAGTTAAGACCGACTTCTACACCTTCCAAAAACACCTTAACTAGTCAAATATCTTTCTGAATCACGGGTGGAAAGTATTCTTGCAATCCCGCAATTTTTGTCAAAAAAGAGAAAGAGGAAACTTTTTTGCAAATTTCTCAAACGAATCCTCGTTCCTTCGTAAAGTCAGCTGACCTAAGAAGCTCCTAGGAATTTGCATAGTTGTTAATGTTTGAACGCAATGAAAAACAACAGTCGATTTCATACGTTCGACGAGAATAATGTAGTTTAAAATCGATTTTGACATTTCTAATGTTTAATCTAAAAAATGTTTCTTGTAATAGCTGTAGCCATTAAATCTTTTCTCGAAGCTTATGCACAGTTACATATGCCGGATCAAAAATTAATTTATGAAGATCATTTGACAGCATATACTTCTACTAATATATGCGTATCGATAAGAAAGAAGTTTTCTTAGCTGTCGGCGATCTCTGTTAAACACAGTTCAATTTGTGAACGAACGTTGAAGACGTCCTGCTCCATTTTCTTAGTGTTCTCACAATATTTGCTTGACAAATATTTATAAATCGGTCCATTTATAACGTGAATATATTTATGAGCGGATATCATGTTCTTTTGACTGTGCCTAAAACAAACAATTTTCTGGTTATATTATTTTATTGTGTATAAGGAGACAAAGAAAAATAAAGAAAGTATAATCTTTCATAAAAAAGTATTTACTGAAGCATGACCGACTTATTGTGTTAGCTTTTGTTGAACAAAGATATAGTAGTATAATGTGATTAGACTATCTGTCATTGTTGAGATTTTGAGGAAAACAGAGATTCGTGAGATAGATATATTGGCTCTTAGCAACCGAGATCATTGAGTGTATGTACAACCGCTCTCAAACAGGTATGTGTCTGATCAGTTGTTGAAAACACATGATGCTCTCCCGAGCATGAACTACTCCTAGAACAGAAGTTCAGTTTTGGGCAAAATGTTTTAGAAAACCGATAACCGAAAGGACAATTTTAACGAAAAAAATGTTCGATGTGCGAAACCGGAATAGGAGATCATGATCTTTCATTCTGAGTGGGGGTTTGTAAGAAGATATAATAAAACCTAGAGCTCCTAATGATACTTATACACAATACACACCATATATAACGTATATACAGAATAGACACCACATATTATATGGTCATGGGAAGCTGAAATCACTTATGATTTTACAGTACCATGGACGATTTTCGACCAATCCGAAACCGTCCATGATTTATTGTTGCATTTTTGGAATTTGCATCGAGAGCAGTTATTGTGTATCTGAACAGAAAGAAAGAAAAAAAAGAAAATAATAAATATGCAATATACACTGATCAACGTTCTTGTGGGTATTCTTGCAAGATGCTTGTTTCTTGGCATTTCAGACGAGTATCTTGTAATATATATTTTACATGTATTTTATCACAAGAACCTTGCAGGAAATCACTTTCTTGTGAGTTGACAAGACACAAGATCACGATTCTTGTATAAATTCACAAGAAAGCGATTTCCTGCAAGGTTGTGATAAAATACATGTAAAATATATATTACAAGATACTCGTCTGAAATGCCAAGAAACAAGCATCTTGCAAGAATACCCACAAGAACGTCGACCAGTGTAGACCATATACTTAATAGAAATGTACTTGCCGGATCGTTCGCTCCTATGGAAGAACGAAAAAAGAAACAGAAGGATGATAACGTTGTTCTGTTTCGTTTTTTCTATAAAGAGAATGTTGTTCATACATTACGTAGTCACAGAGAAGGCTACTACAGCTAAGATGGAAAAGAGAATTTTTCTGTATATTTATATATGCCAGATAGAAACATAATAAGCTTCAGTGCACACTACCGCTATCTGTAGTATGGTTTTGAAAATATCGTTTTCAGCCCAAATATAATTAGATTTTTATTCTAAAACATATTCTTAACTTCAAAAGTTTTTTTTAAAGCGATTTTGACGTAGAGACTCAAGTTACAAAATGGTCAATGGTGAAAAAGTGATTTTAGAACGAAATGATTTTAGCTTCCCATGACCAACAGAAAAGGAAAAAGAATTCATTGGAAGAAAAGAAGAGTAATTGTATTAAGAAATCATAGACGACGTTAAGTCTAGAACGATGAACACAAGTATAGTACGACAAATATGTTTAAAAAGAAAAAAAGCAATAGGAATTAAATGAAAAGTGAAGCCGAAAAAGAATTAATTTTCTTTTTGTACCGGATACCATTCTATAATTTATTCGATGAGGTGCATGAATGGTCGATCCGTAAATCTATTTCGCCACATGAATTATGTTAGGTGGGTTTGTAACAACTGTCTACTCTAATCGGTAGACTCGCATAACAGGCTTACAATTATCGGTAAAAGAGTAGTTGCATCTCGACGATCAACTGTAACAGCAAAACATTCACCCATACCACGATACGTGCCACTATATACCCATTAATTATCAATTACTTGACCACGGTTATACTTCCCAATAGTCCAGGAACTTTCATAAAGGCGACTATAAATTTCGGGGTGACTTTTCACTATAAAACCGGATATATGTAGTTTTGTAGATAAAGACTCCCTCTATCTAATGATGTATATAATATCAAATTCTGTTGTGTACCGTGAGAGAAAATTAAAAGCAACTTCAGAAATTTTTTTTATTTTTGAGTTAAATGTTGTGCATTATAGAGTAAAGTGTCTTCTACAAAATAAGACCACTTCCAGCTTTCCAAGGCCTTCCACTGAGGAGATACGAATTTTTTAAAGTTTGTTACTTTACGCTGAAAAATACCTACTTTTTTAATTTCAAAACCTTTTTCTCGTTCATTCAGTAGTTGATAAACTTAGAAAACAGTCAGTCTTGTAGAGTCAAGATTTTTCTACAAAATGAGATGTCTCTCAGCTCTTTCATCATATTTTCTGATAGAGTTATGATCATTTTACTGGAAGCCTTGGAAAAAGTCACATTTGTGTTATAACGTCCAAAAGGTTGCCTTTAATTTTCTCTCACGGTACACAACAGAATTTGATATTATATACAGCATTCGACAGAGAAAGTCTTCCTCTATAAAGCTACATATATCCCGTTCCGAAGTCAAATCTTTATAGTCGCCATCGACGATATGCCCAACACCAACCATAACAGTTGGATTGCCCAAGAAATGGTTGGTGCAAACGTCATGCAGAAAGTTCTTCCAGTTGACGATTATTGAGTTACTTGCGAAACCACAGCGACGGCGAAGAAACTTGTGCGAATCGACGCCTTGCTAACAGAGCATCAAGTTCAGTATCTAGGTCAACTCCAATCTGGAACCCAAAAAACGTCCCATCGCGGACTGAATAAGTAAGTCTACAACTTCTTTTCTTACAAATCCAACGACATCCTGAAAAATGAACAGCAAATAAAGGATTGTATTGTGTAATGTGTACTACTACTTACCATCGGTTGCTTGTCCACATGTTGCTTGTACACATGTTTTCATGTGCTGTTATATCCGTTATTGCAGGGCCCACTTGGTTTAAATAAATTCAACCGAGCGCCTAACAACAGCTAACAATATTTTCAAAAGAATCTGTAAAGCGGTACCAGTTAAGCAACGCCATATCGTCGATAAGTGGTAACGGATAAGATGCCATTTGAAGAAACGTAGAAGATACTTGAGTAGATTGAGGGAAAAGTATGCTCTTCTGCACTGACATCTCCCATATAATACAAAATTTTTTTGTCTCTTACTATTGATAACTACTTAGAAGTCAAAACTGATTATAATGATTATGATTACCTCTTACTCCTAATTAATTATACATTATGTTGCAGTTCTGTGCAAATGAAATTTAATCATTAGGATGATATCATTCTATACTTCGCGTCGTCTATAATTTCTTAATACTTGTGTGAGGATTAACTATTTCTGTTCTAGAACAGATCGTTCAACCAACAAGAGGTGTTTTTGATAAAAGGAACCTCACATATTTAGACCACACATAGAAATAACGAACGAAATGATCAAAGCAGTCTACTGCTCCGTACTGTACGATATCTGGTTGTTGTTGTTCTTTTCTTTCTTTCGTGCTCCGCATCATATTTTCTCCTCTTTTTACTGTTTGAACCGACGTGTACAGGGTGG